AAATCTAGCCGGTGAGTTGGGAATTTATAGCATAATCTAGCAACCATAGGGGGACTCTTAGGGTTAGGTATCATTCGGTGTTAGTAACCAACGGACCAAACCATCGGTATACCTATAAAGTTTTGTATTCACCATTCTAACCAATACGTAAACCAATGAGGGACTTTGGAAATTAGGTTTAGGCTGTTTGGTGGGGTTTTTTTTGCATCTTCTACTTTTTTTAATATTGTTTGTAAGTCATAAATTTAAAATTTTATTGAAATAAAAATTTAAAAGTTGTTTCTAAAAATAATAAAAAATGAGTAAAAAATAAATTAAAAAAAATTTATAAAAAAACTTAAGTTAGAAACTCTTAAAAATTTATTGTTTAAGATTTTTTTAAAGTTAAAAAAGTTAAAAAATATAAATTTTTTTTTTAAAATTTTAATTTATAAAATATAAATAATATCAAAAAATTAAAACACTTACAAGTTTCATTAAATATACTCTTAGAATTTTGGTTTTGCGGTTTAAGGGCCTTGGTTATGCCTCCAAGCCCAAGCTCAGGTCCATAGATCTAACATCAACTTGCAATAGGCAACAGATCTCCTTAGTTTCTGACCACATTGATATGCAGCCATCAAGGGGCCTTGCTGCAAAACCATAGGCTTCCGTACACTCTTTAGGACCAAGATCAATAGCCATGACTTTTTTTCATTTTTTCTTTGGGGCTGGTTTTTGGGCTGCCACGCCATGACTCTAATACAAGTTGTTCAAAAATTAGGCAGAGAGTGGCTTAAGAGTAAGACTTAGACTTTTAGTTTGACAATGCTGATTTGATTTGTAGTTGTAGTTATAAAGTTTTTTAATATTTTAATATATTAAAAATATATAAAATATTAATTAAAATAAATATTAAATATATTATATATTTTTTTAAAATAATAAAAAGACATAAAAATTAGAAAGTAAAACATTAAAAATCTATCTTATTAAATGTTGATTTTTAAATTTGAAAACTAATAATATTAAAATATATAATTTGTTTTCAAATATAGATGTCAATATTTAATGGGGTGAATTTTTAAATTTTGAATTGAGATTTCTATGTACAAACATAGATTGAGACTCTAACTTTTTTTAAAGTTAAGACTGATACACATTAATCTTTATATATAATGCATAAAAATATATATAGTCATGATACTCATAAAAGTGCATATCATGTTTTACTCCAAAAAAGATAGAGTTTGAACTTTAAAAACACTACCTTCTAATGAATATTTTTAAAAATTAATTATTAGATTTAATATTCCATTGATATAGATCATGCATATGTCAATTTTAAAGTTGACCTAACATCTATAATCATTTAATTAAGAAAATTATATTTTCTAATAAATATTTAACAGTAATAAATTTTTTACAATCAATGAACTAATTATATATATTTAATCATCTGAAAATTAATATACATAATCTACATAAATAAAATATTAAATTTAATTATTAGTTTTTTATAATATTCATTAGACAGTAGTGTTTCGAAAGTTAGAATTTTAATTTTCATACTTTTTATATTTAACCCATATATTTCTTCATTATGTACTCTATATGGATTTTCTCATTTAACACGCCTCTTTATATCCTAGCTCATTATAAATGTTGAGTCTTGTCACATGATTTAACATGCTCCCTTACATGAAAATGGGGACAGAGCCAATGAAAAACGAGGAGGCAGCTGTCCTGCTAAACTTCTAAAAAACATTTAACATGGTACTCTAGCTTTTATTTGTTAAAAATGTTGTTTTAATAGTATGAACATCAAGGACCATCTCAAATATAGAGAAAATATTTAGGACATAAATAAAGAATTAAAAAAAAAGGATACGATTTAAATAAAATGAACTTATGTCAATTTAATTAATTAAGAATTGAGATTCTTAAACATTTCCTTATTTATCAAGAAAAAAAAACTTTAATTCTCTATTTAAACAAATACTTTTAAATATTCAAATCTTCAACACTTTTAAATGCAAGTTTATTGAAATAGTATAATTTTATTGAATTTTTCTTTCTAATTTTTAGAGGTACGATTAACAAATACATATATCTTTTTTAGGATCTGTTTGGTATAGTAGTTAAAATTCAATGGATAGTAGATAACCAGTAGAGGATAGTGGTAGCGGGCGGCAGTTAGTGGATAGCGAAAAGTGGATAACGGATAGTGGATAGTAGATAATGGATAACAGGTAGTAGATAATAGATAGCGGATTTAATAGATATAATTATTTAGTTATATAATAGTTAGTAGTTGTTGTTTAATATTAAAT